AGAAGGTTGAAAATAAATAATCTTCTTAATCATCAAAACAACAACCAATCAATATGAACACATGGTAAAATTTGAATCACGCCCTACTTAAGCTCCAGATTTAGCTCTCGTTTAGCTATAGATTTAGGTTTTATTTTTCTAAAAAAAATTTGAAAACATCATTTGTTTATAAAATGTGATCATGTTTGGAGGAAAAATCAAGAATTTTTAAGTTTCGAAAAACTGGTTTATGGTAGTTTTTGGGTGAAAATTTTTCTTCCAATTACCAAAGTTCAACACTTCTTCAAATTAAAATGCATGTTCAAATATAACTTTAACTTTCAAAAATTATTTTTTAATATAATTTTAAATTTTTTTTTTCAAGTTTCAATCAAATCTATGTTGAAACGTTTGGTTAATCCATTAAACTTTCAGATGTCATCCAATACTAAATTTTTGAACAAAAAACACCTGAAAGACAAAAGGGCTCTGTATCATTTTTTGGTGCTGTAAACTAGAAAAGGGAAGTCCCTTCGGGTACACCCGATTAAAAGAAAAGAACGAGCAAAGGGAAAAGAAAAGACAAAGTGCAAAGAAGATACTCAGTGTACGTGTAACAAAGGTGGCAAAGAGGTTCTGGATTCTTCAGCTGCTTTTGGCAACAGCAATAGCGTTATAGCACCGGCAGCATAGGACAAAGTTTTGAGGGAAAGTTAGGTAGTGACAGGATAGCCCATTTGGGGCATATGATTATTTTTTTTTTCCCACAACCACAACTCTATGTGAATTTTGTAGTCCGTTTGGCCAATTTTTTCCAAATTTAAGAGTATTTTTTTATTAAAAAAATATTTTTTTTTTAAATTGAAAGTGTTTGGCCAATATTTTAGAAGAAAAAAAATATATTTTTGAATAGAAGCAGAAGCAGTTTTGGAGAAACAGAAAATTATAGTTTCTCCCCAAAAGTACTTTTTTGAAAAATACTTTTGAGAAAAATACATTTAGAAGCTTGATCAAACATTAATTATTGTTCAAAAATATTTTTTACATTATTTATCCAAATACAAACACTAAAAGTACTTTTGAAAAAAAGTCAAAATAAGCTGATTTTTAAAGTTTGGTCAATCACCGCTATTGGTTTGACACTACGTGCTTGTGCAGTGACCGGTCCGAGTATATTTCTTCTCACTTGACAAGCGCATGTGCAGATATTCACTCCATGTTATTTGTCCGAAAAACTATTTCCTTCAATTTGTATGGTATTTCACTAACTCTCTGTAACATCTTTATATAACAGTTATTCACTATAAAAATTAAGTTTTTTTTCGGAATCAATATATGTTATGTTATAATATATGTCCTTTATAACATACTTCATTATAGCATCCAAAAAACATCGGAACAAACACGATTGTTATAAAGAGGTTTGACTGTATTTGAAGACAATTAAAAAAATTAAAAACTTATTAGGTGACATATTATACTCACTTTTTCCTAATTATGTGGCACACTTTTTTTTTAATATGTTCTTAAAAAATATTATATTTTTATATTTAGAAATAATTTAAGTATTAGAATTTTAGTTGTACCCTTAATGACATAATTTATAATCACATATTTGTCTAAGACTTGTTTTAGATCATGTTTTTTTTTTAACAAGCCAAATGATATTACATAAATTATTTACATGAGTATGAGAATAATATTTACATGACTATGAGAATATGTCATTAAGAATAAAATAAAAAAATTTAAAATATTTCTCGTACTAGGTTGTTTAATATTATTTTTAAGGGGAAAAGGATGCCGGATGAGTGGAGGTGGAGTACGGTGGTTCCATTGTATAAGAACAAAGGTGATATCCAGAGTTGTAACAATTATAGGGGTATCAAATTATTGAGTCATACCATGAAAGTGTGGGAGAGGGTGGTTGAAGCGAGGGTGAGGATGACAGTGTCTGTATCCGACAACCAGTTCGGGTTCATGCCGGGTCGTTCGACTACAGAAGCTATACACCTTGTTAGAAGGTTGGTGGAACTATACAGAGAGAGGAAGAAGGATCTGCACATGGTGTTTATTGACCTAGAGAAAGCGTATGACAAGGTTCCTAGAGAAATTCTCTGGAGATGCCTGGAGGCAAAAGGTGTGTCGGTTCCCTACATTATGGCGATTAAGGACATGTATGATGGGGCTAAGACTCGGGTTAGGACAGTAGGAGACAACTCTGAGCATTTTTCGATTGTAATGGGGTTACACCAAGGTTCTGCGCTCAGTCCGTTCTTATTCGCCCTAGTGATGGACGTGTTAACACACCATATTCAAGGGGATGTGCCATGGTGCATGCTATTCGCCAATGACATAGCTCTGATTGATGAGTCGCGACCCGATGTTAACGAGAGGCTGGAGGTTTGGAGACAGGCTCTTGAGTCTAAGGGTTTCAAGCTGAGCAGGACAAAGACGGAATACCTTGAGTATAAATTCAGCGCTGATCCAGGGGAAGTGGGCGTGGATGTGAGGCTTGATTCGCAGGTCATCCCGAGTAGAGGCAGCTTCAAATACCTTGGTTCGGTTATCCAGGGGGGAGATCGACGAGGATGTCACACACCGTATTGGGGTAGGATGGATGAAGTGGAGGTTAGCATCTAGAGTCCTGTGTGACAAGAGAGTGCCACCGATACTCAAAGGTAAGTTTCATAAAGCGGTGGTTAGACCGGCCATGATATATGGGGCTGAGTGTTAGCCCGTTAAGAACTCACATATCCAGAAGATAAAGGTAGCAGAAATGAGAATGTTGCAGTGGATATGCGGGCACACTAAGATAGATAAGATTAGGAATGATGATATTCGGGAGAAGGTGCATGTGGCTCCCATTGATGATAAGATGCGGGAAGCGAGGCTTAGATGGTTCGAACATGTTCAGAGAAGAAGCCTAGATGCTCCGGTAAGGAGGTATGAGCAGCTGGTTACGGAGGCCACGAGAAGAGGTAGAGGGCGGCCTAAGAAGTATTGGGGAGAGGTGATCAGGCAGGATATGGCGAGGCTCCAGATTTCCGAGGACATGACACTTGATAGGAAGATGTGGAGGTCGAGTATTACGGTTGTAGGTTAGGAGGTAGTTGAGTCGTGCCTTACTTCGTAACATGGTGGGACTAGCCATGTAGGATTTTTGTCTAAGATAACTAGTGGAAATGTTGTGACTTACTATTTCGCTTTTCAGTGCAGGTCCTATTTACTAGCTATCGCTTTTGCTTTACATCTTTCTTCTAGATTTCATGGTGTTCCTATTTTTCTTATGACTGTTGTGGTGATACTAATATTTACTACTATTGTCTCCCTTTACTTTGCATCTTTCTTCTGGATTTCATGGTGTTCCTATTTATCCTATGGTTGTTGTTGTGATACTAATATTGTCTTCCTTTCTGCCCTTTTGTCTTTTTATTTTTTTTGAGCCGAGGGTTTTTCGAAAATAGCCTCTCTACTCCTTCAGGATATGGGTAAGATCTGCGTACACACTACCCTCCCCATACCCCATTAGTGGGATTTTACTGGGTTGTTGTTGTTGTTGTTGTTATACTTCAAGAACTCTTTGGTAATGAGTGTACAATGGATTCTAAGTAATACATGGCCAATAATATTTAATTTGAAAAACTTTTTATAATTATTTAAGTTATACTTTAATAATATGATGTGTTATAATAAATAATTTTGTAACTTATAATAATGAAATAATAAAAATAATAATAATACTTAAATAATATGTGTTATAATAAATAATTTTTTAACTTATAATAAAATAATAATAATAATAATAATAATAATAATAATAATAATAATAATAATAATAATAATAATAATAATATAACTTAAATAATATGATGTGTTATAATAAATAATTTTGTAACCTATAATATAATAATATTATTATTATTATTATTATTATCAAAAAATTATTATATTATTATTGTTATTATTATTTTCTTCAGATAAAGTTATGTCAATTTTTGTTAGTATATATTTTTTCTTTGCATTTTATAAAATATAATTATTGCATTTTCAATATTTTTTAAACTTTAATTTACTTTATATTTTTATTTTTTAAAATAAGAATTAAAAATTCGTAGAGGCACTGTGATGGATACCTCTTGAAACGGCGGGGAATGAATATTTGTAATAGTACGAAACCTACTCTAATTTAAAACAGGAAAATCTATTCATATACGGATTTAATGTAAATCCTATTTAGACATAAATTAATTAAATTATCAAATATCAAATTCTAAATAATTTATGTTTCTTATTACAATTTTGAATTAGTATCCAATATTCTCCCCTAATTCAAAGTTGTATACGTCTAACTTTTATTGTTTTAGAGCATATTTCTCTAATTTTTCAATTGTTTTTATTGTTGTGTCGGAGCACTTCTTTCCAAATCCCAGTTGTTGATATACTTCCTTCAATTATTGGAACACTTTGTTTCTAACCTTCTAATTTGTTGTTTCTTTTCTCTTTAATTTTTCGAAAAAAGTTTCTTGCTCTTATGCAGTATTTAGTTGCACCACTCTAAATTTGTAGTCCTTTTGCTTAATCTCTCTAGATGCTTGTCTTTATTATACAATTAGACTTCTCTTTTCTATCCCGTTAATTATGCAAGTAAAAATAAGGGCAAAGATCACTTCTGGTCAGCGGCAAAACTATTTATCCAAACAACAAGAACACAAAACTTATGGATAAATTTTAGTGGAATGTTACCGAATAATTTTCTACTGGTCTATTGATAGATCCCTATGAAGGGGAAAGTATCACGGAGAAGAATTCAACAACATATATATATATATATATATATAGCTTAGACAAAGCTTATTTTTCAGATCCAACAGTTAATATCTTACAGCAGTGGTCCAACTCAGCAACCAACGTGCGATCTACGTGTCATTAATTATTTTATCCGACACGTGGCTCAGAAATTCCAAGTTGGCAAACATGAACATATACCTACTCATCGCCTCTATATATTTGCTACTAAACCTCTCTAACTTTTGGCTTACTTCTAAATTTAAGTGAATTCTCTCGTTCTCTCTTATTTTCACAAAACATTCAAATATATACATACCCCTCAATATCTCTCCCTCTCTCCGTTTATATCTTTTTCCTCTTAAAATTGTTCTAAATCTGTTCTTTTTAAATCCAATTCTTTAATTTTATTAGTCTCTTCATCCGATATTATTTATTGGGGAGGAAAAAAGAGATGAAGGGGAATACAGGAAATCCACTAGCTTTGACATCTCTGAACCACATATCCCTTGTTTGCAGATCAGTTGAAGAATCCATTGATTTCTACAAATATGTTCTTGGATTTGTTCCCGTTAGGAGGCCTGGTTCATTCAATTTTAATGGCGCTTGGTAATTTTACGCCAAATTCCTCTTTCTTTCTTTTTTTCATAGAATTAATTAATTCAAGGACATGCAGCTTGAAAAAAGTAAAAAAGAAAAATAGCATGATTTATATGATATGATATATGATCCATTTCAATTATAAATAATTAACCACAGATTTTTGTCAAAATTTTGATAGGTTGTTTGGTCATGGGATTGGAATTCATCTCCTTCAATCGGAAGATCCAGAAAAATTGCCAAAGAAAACTGAAATTAATCCCAAGGACAATCATATATCTTTCCAGGTTCTTTTCTTTCTTTAATTCCGTGGTATATTCCTTCTGTAATTTTAAATAGTTTGACAATGATGATGCATGATCATGTTATTTGTATAATGTTAAAAATTCAACCACTCTGTTGATAATGCCGTGTGCTGTTAATTACAAGACTTGTGATTTATTCTAACACAAATTGTACATTTACTTGTTGTACACGCCTCTAATTCTCTACAGAGGAGTATATAGTTTTCGTTCAAACGGAACTTCCACAGGGAAAAAAGAAAATTATAAATTGAATTCTCATCTCCATTCATAATAAAATTGAAATCATAAAGAGGATAGAACAGAGAAAAGAGAAAATGTGTGATGAATACGTATTGATTTAGATATTATTTGTACCCTTATTTGGCGAAGGATGACAAATGGGCGAGTAAGGCTTAATTTGAGCTGAATCAATAAACGAGCAGGTCATTAATCCGCCAAAAAATTACTTGGATTGAGATAGATTAGATTACTATGACCTAAATGATGGATCGTAACTAACTAGACATGCAATAACAAAAAGGAACTTATTATAGCAAGTTGGATTTAGATATTATTAGTACTGTTATTTGGTTAGGGATGACAGATGGGCGGGTAAGACTTAATTTGGACGGGTTAAAATGAATTGAATCAATAAATGAGCAGATCATTAATCCGCCAAAAGATTACTTGGACCGAGATAGATTAGATTAATATCAGCTAAATAGTGGATCATAGCTAACTAGACATACAATAAGAAAAAGTAACTTTTTATAGCAAGTTTGATAAATGTGAGAGTAGAGTAATTACATACTCCTTCCTTCTGTCCAAGTTTACAGTCCAGTTTAGAAAATCAATGGATAATATACCTTTTTTACCCTTCTTATTAAGTGCTCACTACTTATTTTTAATTTATTTTTCAACATATAATAAATAGGGAGATATAGTAAAATTATCATGCTATTTATTGTTTCATAAAGGGTGTCAAGTCAATAGTGGACAAGTAAACTTAGACGAAGGGAGTACTACTAACCAACTGCATTAAAATTATTTATATTGTCAGTACATACATAACTCTAAGCTCATGTTTTAATTAAAGTTTGGTTGATTGATAAGCAGTGTGAGAGTATAGATGCAGTGGAAAAGAAGCTGACAGAAATGGGGATAGAGTACGTTAGACAGCTAGTGGAAGAAGGTGGAATATACGTAGATCAACTCTTTTTCCACGATCCAGATGATTTTATGGTTGAAATTTGCAACTGTGACAAATTGCCTGTGATTCCATTGGTTGGGGAAATGGCTAGATCTTGCTCCAGAGTTAATCTTCATCAACCTCAGCCAACACAGCAACAACCCATAGTACATGTCCAAGTCCAACCTTTACTTAAACTAGATTAATTAATGTTTCTAGAATCTTAGTTAAGAGTCTTGATTATGTATTTCTCCCAGTTTAAGAATTAGTTGGCTACTTAGAATGTTTGTTAGAATTTATGTTTTTGGTTAATTGGTACTAGCTTGTAATAAAGTCAATTTGGCAATTGTACCCGAATGGTCAAATGGATGATAACTCAATTCGATAACTCTTTTTTTATTTATTTATTAATAATATGTGAAATTTAATGTCCGACTAATTCGAAATTGTATCAATGTGCCACCTCATGTTACGTGAAAAATTCCAAATTCCATACAACTTACTTATAGTCTTATTATGTTCCAAAGAAGGAAAGCCATAAATGGCAAGAAGTTACAGATCTTCAAACTTCCATACACAGTCAGACTTCTCTATAACATCTCAATATAACAACACTTCACTATAAAAGTCAAGCTTTCCCGAAACTAATTTTCATGTTATGTTATAATATATATTCTCTATAACAGCACTTCGCTATAATATCCAAAAATATTCGGAACAAACGAGTTTGTTACACTACTAAAACAAATGGGGAAAATCGATCGCCAAAACCGACCGATGTTGGTCGGTAATTGGAAAAAATCGACCGAAAACCGACCGATTCGTGACGGTCGGTAGTCGGAACGTCGGTAGAGCTAATTGACCGACTTTGGTCGGTATTTTCAGACCGATTTCGGTCGGTCAATTAAATTCAAAAAAACAAAATTGCCGAAAAAACAGATGGTCTGTTTTTTCCGACCAACGTCGGTCGGTATTTTAATTATGTAATTAAAAAATAAATCATCTGGCAATCGAACCGGGGTCTGTACTGTGGCAAGATACTATTCTATCACTAGACCATTGGTGCATTTTGTTTTAAGACTGTCTTTTATTTTATTTATACTCTTTAATTATATTTTCGCACGAAAATAACTAACCCATGTCGGTCGGTTTTATTAAAAAATAAAATTACCGACCGAATTCGGTTGGTTTTTTAAAATGACCTGCCGAATTAACCGACCGATTTCAATCATTTTTTTAATATTAATTTTAATTTATTTTAAATAAAAAACCGACCAAAGTTGGTCAGTTTCGTAAAACAAAAATTAAAAAATAAAATATTTGGAAAAACCGATCGACTTCGGTCTGTTTTTTGGCCTGTTTTTTGGCCAATCAAAATCAGTCGGTCGACCGCGGTCGATTTTTGCCGAATTTTTAGTAGTGTTATAGAGAGGTTTGACCGTAGTACCTAACAATACATGAAATGAACCTGAGCCGGGTGTGGCTTAATTTGAACGGGATAGAGGAGTTGAGTTAATAAATGGATGAGTCACAGATAAACGGCCAAAAATGCATATTTTCCGGTGTACTTTCATCTCATAACTTGTATGGTTATGGTAGGTTACATGAGTTTTTATAGTGAATTATGCTCATTACGTGCATTGTTTTGTGTAGGAGCAAGTTGGGCGAAAAGTGAGCAAAAGAAGTTCATTAGGGGCCAAAAGACAAAAGAAGAACTTTGCTCGTTTATTATCGCATGCACACGAGAAAGTGAACGAGCTAGCTGAGGAAAATCTTGAGAAAACAACAGCGGATTATGGCAAAAAGGCATGGAAGTGCACGAGAGACCTAGAAAGAAAAGAAAAAGAGAAGCACTTCGCTCGTTCACTCTCGCGTGAGCACGAGAGAGTGAACAAGCTAACCTAAAAAGGTTGTTCCGAAGTGGGCTTGTATTATTTCGCCCCATGCAAACCCTATCACATATAAATAGTCCTTAAACTCACTTTTGAAGGGGTATTGAACGTTTTTAGAGAGGATTATCGACTGAAGGAGGCAAAAACACACTAGGAGCAAGGCGGAGAATATTTCTACGAGTTTTTCGCTTTCTTCTTCCTATTTTCATTATTGGTTATCAATTCTAGTATTGTAGTTTTGTATACTATTACGAATAACTAATTTGTTATCTAGGTTTTGATGGAACCTTTTGTAGGATGAATTCTCATTACGTGTTTATACAATTGAGTCGTTGGATTTCTCTACTTGTTCAACTAAGTGTTTATTGTTGTTGATTGAATGACCATCAATTAACTGTGCCTATTTAGTGTGTATTGCTTGGAAAAGGGTACATATTTAGGTAGTTGTTGAACAATATCACACCTAATGTATGTGAGAAATCAATACGGAGGGTTTAAAGGTGGGATTGGAATAACAAAACCTTGGTGCCATCTTAGTGAGCGGTGAATTAGTGCCAGCTAGTGTAGTTCAGAAGCATATATCTAGTAAATTATTATAGTTGCACGTAAGAGAATTATGACATCCGAAATACTGACGATTAGTAGAGAATACTTAGGCGAAATTATAGAAAACATAGCGGGAAAAATTCCGACAATTGGGGAAATCATAACTCCAGACCTCCTTAGTCTTGTTAATTGATAATTTTACTACTTTTTGTATTCGTTAATTACTTGGTTTGAAATAAAAATTACAATCTTTATAACTAGAAATTTTTTTTAACTTGTATTTCTTAGCAATGCTGAACTATTGTAGCTAAGCCTTAGTTCTCTGTGGGATTCGACACCGGAATTTTAGATCGGATTATATTGCAGCGACCGTTTATCCTTTTTGGACTAGAGTTGGGCGCGATCAAATTTTGGTGTTGTTGTCGGGGAACTAACGGTGTAGCTGATTGTGTACATATTGCTATGGTTTAAAGTTTGAACTTTTTTTTTTATTTTCTTGTATTTGATTTTTTTAAAATTTTGTTTCACTTGTTAATGTGAGAAATGTGGTGTCATGACCCAAACCAATGGGTTGTGACGAGTGCCCGAGTGCTACCTATCGAACATCCCTAAGCATATGTCAACGATATAAACATAAAATAAGTGTAGGTCATGCCTAACGTCTGGAAATAAACTACCGATTCATATGAATNATATATATATATATAATACGGTAGGGCGAGCCGACAAATACACATACTATCCAACTATACATGACTTTCTACAGACCTCTAACAGAGTGTACAACTATATAAAGGACGGGACTAGGCCCCGTCATACCCATAGGTATACAAAGGTATCGTACCAAAACTCAATAGTAGCTCCGGATCAAATGGAGCACACCAACTGTCGCTAAGCAAGGATCCTAAAATGGGAGACCGTCAACCTGTCTACCTGCGGGCATGAAAAGTAGGCCCTCGGGCAATAGGAGCGTCAGTACGAATAATGTACCGAGTATGTAAGGCATAAAAATTAGTATATAACAGACATGAAAGAAACATGGAGTAAATGACACAACTTGTGAGTCTGAATAGATCTGTGAATCTTGAAACATTTATAATGTCATGCATATGCGTATAAATGTGATATCATGCATAGGTATATGCGTACATAACATCATCAAGACTCTGAGGGCATCCTATCATATCATCTCAGCCTCTGTGGGTGAAATCATAAATGTATACCAGTTGATCAGGTGGTGGTGCATATATAACGCCATAACATTTCCTCATACCCCATATGCATATACTATACGTATATATAACGTCATCTGGTCATGGGTCAGTATACATGTATAAATGGATGCAATTCATAATAAAGTAAGTCAATAATATCTCTCGGAATGTCATGATACCCATGAACAGACAATATGAAAGTAGGACATACGGGGAATCCAGAACATAGGAACCCCTAGTACTTCTATGAATAGAGTCATTTATGAAAGTTCAGCATTTGCACGTTTCGATTGTATCATATGGATCATGCTAGAAGGAAAGAATGGATAGAATTAACATACCTCAAGTCGTCAATGCAACTCAACAACAAGCTTATGACAACTAGCGCGCCAACCCTATAATAAAGAAATACGTGTACAACTTAGATGTCGGTGGTATATCACGTATCTCAAATGATAATACGATTCTAAAATAAAACGGGCAGCATTTCCCCTTATTTCACTGCTCCCTCAAGCCTACTATAGGCGATATACAAACACAATACAATCAGCAACTCAAAAACAACCCAACTACAATTCGGGACCTTCAATACAACAAAATCCCCAAATATACCATAACATACCCAATCAATAAGTTATCAATTAGTTTGAAATTGCAACGACGAGCGACCAGCCTACTACCCTACCACATGTGGAATTTCTCCATGCCCTTAATCCTTCAAAACTCCATAAATCATCAGCACAATCGGCCAACATGAGTGGACTACAAATCAGTCCACTAAAAGTGAAATAAATCGAACTCATGGCTTCCGATCACCGTCCCGTAAGTTCTAAATATTAGGAAACCAATTTATCAACCTTACTTGATATTTAAACACTTAAATAAAGAAATTATATGTTTCTTAACTATGAAGTACCTTACAAAACTCGAACTACAAAGAAAAAAGAGAGACAGTCTAATGATACTTACGTCGTAGGGATCGTTCTGATGTTATCGCTTCTCGATTTCGTACCCGGGATATTAGTATTCTTTGAAAAACTATTAGAGAGCTTAGGGATAGGTTTTATGGTATTCTCTGGTCGGGTTCCATGTTGTTCTCTGGACGGGTTCCATGTAAACATGAAGAGAGAGATGAGTTAAGACCTATATATCAACTTTTGAAAAGTCAAAGAGGTGCTTGTTTGGCACCCTCTCATTGGCCCATCTTCCGACGCTTATATCTTTTTATTTGGATGTCGTATGAACGAACGGTTAAGTGAGTTGGAAACTAAATTCCAAGACCTTCCATTTTGTATATAATATGTTCCAAAAATACCTCATATAGAATACGAAATTTATTTCTCAAAAAGCTCTGTTACAAGGCAAATTCTTAGTCGGTTTTTCCGCAACTTAAATCCGATTTTTCTCAAACTTTATATTTTCTATCCAAACATCATATATAGTCATATTATGACTTTAAAAATATTTAAATCATGATTAACAAGTCTCATATTCATTATACGTCACCTTGGGACGCACAGGGTGTAACAATCTTCCCCCTTTAGAAACATTCGTCCTCGAATGTTTAACTCCTAGAGATCTATAGAAATTTTTGGCAGAGTCTCCTCTATAACGGTTCTACTACCAACCTGTCAGACAGAAAATCCAAAAACACAAAGCCACACAGTGCCACAATCATCAATAACACCAATGGCCTCACATGACCAATGACAATAACTAACATAAGAATCAAGTACCATATACGTAC